TTTTCACAATGTGTCAACATTCTTATTAATTCCATTCTGGTTGTCACATGAGTTTTTTTCCCCCCTTCTAAATTTTATTTTTGTTGAGAATATACACAGCAAAACATAAACCAATCCAACAGTTTCTACATGTACAATTTAGTGACAGTGATTACATTCTTTGAGTTAGACAACCATTCTCACCCTCCTTTTCTGAGTTGTTCCTCCATTAACATAAACTCAGTGCTCCCTGAGGTTCCTATCTTTGGAGTTGCTGTTGTCAGTTTGATCCCATATAAATAGTTCTTAAAAGAACATAATGTTCAAGGCAGACCTTTTTTTTTTTTTACTAGTTAAGCTAAATAAACTATTGTTCAGTTTTCAGATGACTTTAGGGGATAGAAATCAGACTAGTTTTAACTACTGCCATTTTGATGATTCTGTCTAAGCAAAACCTTGGTGGTTGCGGGACAAGTGATATAACAATTCTTCATTTATGGAAAAAGATAGTAGAGAGGTAGTATATTATGGAGATTAAGGGTTCGGGCTCTGCAGTCCCACTGCCTGGGTTTGAATCCTGGCTCTGCCATTTACTAGATGTGTGAACCTAAGTTATTTAACCGCTCTGGGCCCCAGCTTTTTTATCTATAAAATAATGACGGTAGTAGTGACTACATCATGAAACAACAGTTGCTGCTGAGTCCATTCTGACTCATAATGACCTCATGGATGTCAGAGTAGAACTGTGTCTCAGGATTTTCAATGGCTGATTTTTCGGAAGCCTTTCTGCTGAGGTGCCTCTGGGTGAACTTGAACCCACAACATTTTTCGTTAGCAGCCAAGCATGATAACCGTTTACATGACCAAGGGACTCCATAGTGAGGATTAAATGAGGTAACATTTAAAAAGGGCTTAAAACAGTGCTTGGTGCACAGTGAAAAGTAAATGAATATTAGATGTTATTATGTAGCATTGTGAAGGAATGAGCAATTCTGCATAACTGATTTTCCAGAAAATGAAGATTAACCTTCAAAGCAATACAATCATTTATTTTAATCATTTTCAAAGATGCTAAAAAATGTATTACGTGATTTTAAAAAAATCCAGAATTGGTCTAGAAAATGGGTGATAATGTTTTCACATCTAACTAATACTATTTTACCTATAATTATCAGAAAATTTAGCATAGACAACTGTATGCTGAAATGTAAACCTGGGCCCAGGTTTAGGCCTGTTTCAGAGAGATCTGAATCTACCACATAAAGGTATAGAAAGGTAGAACACTAATCGTTTTCTGCAAGATTAATACTATGTATCTCTTGCTACCTTTATCTTTTCTGCTTTGTCTGTTTGATGAATTCTTACCATTCAAAGCCCAGCTCAAATTCATTTTCTGAGATGCCTTTGTGCCCCCCAGGAATGACTGCTCTCCTGTGTGCTACCTTGTACACACCTGTGCAGGTCTTATTGTACTTGCCTGTTAGCATTGCTAGCTTGGGGCTCCTTAGGGAAGGGACTGCTCCTTGTTTTGTATCCTCAGTATATTCTCACAGTAGACAAGCAACGTTCATTGATTTTATATGGGAATGAAAATGTCCAGGTGGAACCAGTGAGACGGCACTGATAGACGGCAGGATAGTGAAGAAAGTTTGCTGGACCCTGTTTCTGAGGGATAAGCTCTGTGGCTCTTTAGCAGTGTTGGTGCACAAAGATGGCAGAATGGATAGAAAACTGTCCAAACAACATTAGCTTGTAAGCTCTGTAAGCACCCACTATAGGATACCTTTGAAAGCTCTAGGACAACAAAAATTTCCAGTCATCAGATTATTTTATGGGAGCTTGAAGCATTCAACAAACATCTATCCTGTTTATATTCTGACAGAGCATTTGGTTTGACAGAACCTGCTAGAGCAGAATTAGTTAAGCTTGCTTCACTAAACTGAGCTAGTTTGGTCTCTGGAAAATTTTTAGGGGAGGCTGCTTTCAAAATATTTTTTAAAAATGCAGAATTGGTCTGGAAAATAGGTTGATAATGTTTTCACATCTAACTAATACTGTTTTACTTAAAATTATCAGAAAATTTAGCATAGACAACTGTATTCTGAAATTTTGCTTTTACAATTAGTACTAGTTGAGAGATTGTGCTTTTCCCTAGAGAAAGTTTTGGAAAGTAGGATGTGGGATGGCTTCTAGCTCTTTATTTCCTACTCTACAAGCTATAGTTCTCTGTATATCAGAGTTTAGTTTGGCCACAAACACGTGTGTGTCCCCAAAGCCCTGTGTACTACTAGTTGGTATGATGCCATTGGGTTACAGGTTTAAGGAGAGAAGTTGGCAGGGCTTGCCCTTTCACTTGTGGGAGAAAGATGGGGCAGTCTGCTTCTGTAAAGATTTACAGCCTTGGAAGCCCTATAGGGCAGTTCTACTATGTCCTCATAGAGTCGCTATGAGTCGGAATTGACTTGACAGCAGACGGTGGTGACCTTTCACTAAGTGTCCCACAACTACATAGTTATTTGGTACAGTCTCTATACCTGTAGCTCAAAGCAATGCCTTTAATGACCTTACAACTTTTGAGGTATCCAACTATTTATAATCCGCCCTTGTTCTGGAAAGGATTGAGCAGTTTATAAGAATACAAAAAATACAAGCAGCATGTGAAGGACTAATTTTCTCCCCTGGGCTGGCTCTGCTCTGTGGGTCTCACTTCTTCTGCACCTCTGCTGCTCATGGCCCACAGCACCCTTCTTCTCTTTGCATTGCTATTGTCTACTGCCGACTGCCACACTCTTCTTCCTTTCTCCAAGCTACTTTTTTCTTTTCTCCTTCTCTTTAACCCATTTTATTTTGCTTTACACTTTCACACCAGCAGCTTGTGTTATTATAGCCATTGACAAACACTCCCTCTTTCATTTTGGTAGCAAATTCATATCATTAAATATAATTTTCAAGTAGAATTTCTAAGATTGCTCATTGCTTAGAGATGATTTCTTGGTTGCTATTAATTTTTTTTAAAAATTGACTTTTTTGCTGTTGGAAAGGTGGACAAATAAGTGAAGTTTGCTATATAATAAGAATGATGCCTGCCTCCTTTGGGGGGACCAAAATTGTAAAAAAGACAAAAGGAAAGAAAAACAGAAAAAGGGGGGAAAAAGTTTGTATCACCTACTCTAAAAATTTCCAGATCTACTCATTTATTGTCCTTACTCTTCAAAAGTAATTGCAAATATTTGAGTGCTTACTCTGTACTAGTCATTATGCTAGTACTTTTGATGCATTATCTCATTCTACTCCCTGCAACAAAATGTGAGGGTAGGCAATAACTGAATAAGGAAGCAATAATTTGAGAAATCATTTTCATTGGGACATTTCTCAAGTAATGTATGAAGAAAAAGAGAACGTACTGTATTAAGGTTTTTCGGTTATTTTTAAGGCAGATTGCAAGCTCCTCCATTATTTCACAGCAGCTGGCTATGTTAGGAGTCCCGCCATCTGGGATTGGATGATGATGAGTGATAATTCCATACTGTCGGTAGAGGTCCAAAAGGTTTGGGACTCTATATTTTGACAGCTCCCCTCTGGTGCAGAAAACAAATATGTCTTGTATACCATAGTTCTTTAGTTCTTCTGCCAATAGACCAAGATACACACGAACATACACATATAACACATTACAAATTTAAATGTAGTCAAGAAGGAGAATAAGGAGTTAAGTTTCTTAAGCCAAAGTAAGTAAACAGTGAATGATAATCTACAAATTTGAAGCGCTTATTGATACTTTAAAATAATGTTGATCTGTTCTCAAACTAGGGGAAAAATCAAGTCACTAAGCACAAAATAGGAATATGAACCAAAAAGTGGTTAAAATTAAACCTGACTTTTTAAGTCAAAATGCTTTATACTGAACTTCAAGACGAGTCAATTGCTGCTCTTGAATTTTTTTTGCAATAAATATTGATTTAAAATAAATAAAAAAGCATCTGATATTTCAAAATAAACTCTTGAGAAGGAATGATAGCGCATTTATTCTTCTTTTTCTCCTAAAATCAGCCATGTTGACGAATTTCATCACTTTGTTGTTTGTAGCACCTTAAGCACCATGGTGTCAGAGCTCTTGTATTCCCCTTTGTATTTGCATGGTACCACGCATCACAAATTTAATTTTATGGACTAGATCTTTAGAAAATAAAGCACTAGCTGTATTACAATTGTGTGACTTAGTTAATTTTGCTAGAATGATATGAACTGAGCAATCTTACTGTAGGGTATTCTGTACACTGGAACTTCCTAATGGCAATATTCACGATAGAGCATTTGGTTCAAAAGGAAAAACTAATTCTAATCCTGGCTGATCTAAGCCCCGTCCCTTTCCCCACTTCCCAAATGCAAGGACACTGGGCTGTTTAAGTACAAAGTACCTTTTATCATAAACCTCTAGATCTGTACTGTCCAATATAGTAGCCACTAGCCCCACACATGGCTACTGAGCACTTGAAATGTGGCTAGTCCAAGTTGAGATGTACTATAAGTGTAAGATACCTCATTCAAAGACTAAATACAAGAAAAATGTAAAATATCTTATTAATAATTTGTTTTAAACTGATAATATGTTGAAATGATAATACTTAGGATATATTAGGCTAAATAAAATGTATTATTAGAATAAATTTTACCTGTTTCTTTTTACTTTTTTTAATATGGCAACTTGAAATATGAAGTTATGTATACTGTTTCCATTTGTACCTCCCATTATATTTCCACTGGGCAGTGCTGCTCTAGATGCTGCTATTATATTTTTATATTTGTAATAGGATTTAACTTGTAGTTAACATACCTAACCATTTAAGAGAGTAGGTGATTTTCTAGTTGCCTCTTGTACACACTGGATAGTTTCTATCAAAGACAAGTTTTCAAACTGTCTTTCCTAGAAAGGCATCTGAGATGGTACCATAGGAACTGCTGCAGGGAGATTCTAAGTCTTCCTCATCAAACACTTAGGGGGAACACACACATACACACAGACGTGTATATTTATACATGCACACACACGCACACATGTATATATACACATACATGCACACACGTATGTATATATACATATACATGTACACACATATGTATATATACACACATGTACACACATTAAAAAAACAAGGTTTGGGAAAAAAATTGAAAACTTTTTACAGGAGATACTAAATGAATATGGCTTTCCAAAATGTGCAAGATTGGCTCTTGAACCAATTATTTAAATTATATATTTTGCTTATGACGTAAATGTTCTCTAAATGGAAGTTTCCTACCATTGTGATGGTGGGTATGTCTAAAGCAGAAAATCTAAACAAATACTGTAAAGGTCAACTAATCTATTAAAATAAAAAACCAAACCCATTGTCACTGAGTCAACTCTGACTCATCGCGACCCCATAGGGTTTCTAAGGCTGTAAATCTCTACGGAAGCAGACCGCTACATCTATCTCCCATGGAGCTGCTGGTAGTTTCGAACTGCCGGTAGTTTCGAACTGCCGACCTTTTGGTCAGCAGTCGAGCGCTTTAACTGCAGCGCCACCAGGGCTCCTTTGCCACCTTAAATTTTTTGGTAGGTAAGGAATAAATTAAAGCACATTAGTAAATTGATATTCCAGAACAATCAGAAAAAGATTTTAAGATGTAAAAGATATTAGAATCAAGCAATATGTATATATATATATTTTTAGTGTATTATAAGGCTATTTGTAGGCCTGTTAGACTTGAGACAGTCCAGGCTAATCAGAGTAAAATATTTTGAAAATCCACATGTGTTAGAGTATCATGCAATATGTAAATTCCAGATTGGAGTAGATTATCCAAATAGTTGTAGGATTATTAGACTTGAAGCTATAGTGATATGAACATCCTTGGGCTTGCAAACGTCAATCCCCCCTTCAACTTTCCCACCTTGTTGGGAGGGATGGACAGGATGGACAATTTCACTATAATCTCTGGGTTCCCAGCTCAGGCTTAATTTTTACTACCACAGTCAAGTCTGCAAGGGACAGTATATTATTCAAAGTTTTGGTCAGTACAATATGTCAGTTTTCTATTTACATACTTCGGCCCTCGAACTTATATAACAATCTCATGTGTAGCTTATATGTACAACTATGACAATCAGTAAATAACAAGAGTGTTTAAGTAAATGATAAGTTCTCTATGCCCTTCATAAATACCTCTTCATATATTAGACTCAGTTTATAGTTTGAAACTTCACAAAATATTTAACCTTTATTTGGTATATCAAGAAGAGGCTCTACAGTTTGTTCCTTTTGACAAAGAGATTTTCAGTGTTAGTAAAAGAAAACATATTACTATGGTTGTCTCATACTACACATACCTGTATCTTTTTGGATATTTCTTCTAATATCTTTAAATTTACAACCTATAATAGTAATAAGGCAAGTGAAAAAGTCAGTTTTTGGTCATATATAACAAGTATATTTAAATACATATATAGCTACTTTGGAAGGTCATTCCACATAATCCTTTATATGTATCAATTCCATTTTGAGTATGAATTTCACTTTGTTAGGAATTACAGGGATTCATAGGTCCCAGCTGATCTAAGGATTCTTTTTTCTGTAGCAAGTACTTGGCTCTGGCCTTCAGTCTCACATTGTGCCCCAGTGTTTAAATTTTATTACCACACATAAACCAGACAGGCAGAGCTGTGAATGCAGATCTGGAAGTTTGAAGAGCGGAGCTACGTTCCTTCATCTATAGCCCACGTGAGGGCTTCCAAAAGTAAGTCCCCCAGTGCTGATGGTCTGTGAAATTCTCTTCTTGCTCAGTACAGAAAATGATGTGTTAGCTGACAACAAGTTGTCTTAAATATACCAATAAGAGGCCTACTATAGTGTGACCTACCTGGAAGAGCACATAAACCGAGAAACTGAGAACAATTCACTTGTGACAGGGGTAGCCTAAAAAAAAGAAAAATTTATTAAGTTTTGTTCCATTTTAGAAAAGTTATAAATGGAAATTCAATCTAACCAACATGTATGCTTGCCACTGAACTAGGGTGTTTTAAATTAAACTTTTACAGTACTTACAAAGCAAAAATTCACAGTTAAAGATCAATGTGTCAGTCAAGTTGTTGTGAGTTATAACTGAGTCGATTCCGACTCATGGCAACCCATTTGTGCAGAGTAGAACTGCTTCCCTAGGGTTTCCAAGGTTGTGACCTTTCGGAAGCTGATTACCAGGACTGTCTTCCAAGGTGTCTCTGGGTGGGTTCGAACTGCCAACCTTTCAGCTAGTAGTCAAGCGCTTAACC